CATCTGGGCTCTTCCTGAGGCACGTCTATTAAGGCCATTATGCCATCCTTCCACGTCGTTATTGGTGCGGATCTGCTGCTTGTACACACTCCAGCTGGAGGGAGGCCAGGTAGTGCTTTGTATCCAGGTGCTATCGACATACTCCACAAACTTCTGGAGGGGTTCAGTGGTGGCTTGCAGCTGAAGACAGTTAAACATTGCTGGTATTTCACTTGGAGGCAGGAATGGTAAGGCCATTATTCTACGGAGATACTTGAAGGTGCCATCATCCGATTGGTATGCTGTTTGAAGCCCAAGGTCTTGAATCTGTAATGTAAAAAAAAAAATGTTAAAAAAATGGTAAGCAAATGCTTAAAAAGATTGGACACTCCTCCCAGCTTCAGCTTTATCCGTCAAAGACAACTACCAATTTGATATTATATTGCAGTTTTGTATATTCATTATTATCTTGTGTATTGATTTGTATTATTTATTTTTTCATAATTCTATTTTTTTGTTTGTGTGGCAAGATATAGCTTCTGTTACTGACCTTTCTCCACAGAGCTTGTGTCCAATGGAATACACAGCCTTTCACCYTCACGTCTGGAAGGACTTCACGGAGGCAATTCCACATTGCTTTTTCAAAGTCAATCATGACCTGGTTAACCTTTGGGTTCTGTGGCAGAAGGTCCAGAATAGTCTTCATGACCTGAAAGAGGATAAGACATAGGTGTGAGTGAATGTTCTATTAGCCTGGTTGGAAAAGTTCTTAGTCATCCATACTCTGACTATCAATGCATATTTACCTTTCGATAATCCTTTTTCTTCTTGCCAGACATCAAGACAAAGACCAATGGGACCTGTTTCACGTGGTCCTCGCATCTAGCATACGCATTGATGGTCCAGAGTTGGGTGAAAGGGTGGCGGCACAACTTGAAGGTACCATCTATAAACCAGGTCTTGGCTTTGCTGAGGAACTGAAGTTGGTTTTCGGTGGCGAAGACAAGATGGCGTCTACTGTTGACAGTCACATCTGCTTGAAAGAAGCCATCAGGAATGTGATCTTCTTCCAAACTGAAATCCAGGTCTACTGGGTCTTTGGGCCTGGTGTTTTGTCTAAGCCGGTTTGCAGCTTGCGCCAATAACTTTGGTTTTGAAAGGCTTGGACATGGTCCGTCAAGTTTCTCAAGGAGAACCTATAAAAATGAAAAGGGGACAAAATTCTATAAGCGGATGTCAAATCAAATTCAGTTAAACAGGGGGTGTCAACTCTAAGAAGGTCTGTTTTGGGAGAAAAACAAAATTCTTCCGTGAATCTGAAGATTTTGTCGAGAATCGGGAGACTTGGAAAATTTTCCGGGAAACACAAATAAACTTATGCTTTCAAAATGCAAATAAATAAATTGGCCAAATATTGACCAAAACATATAGCATAATGTGCCACAAAAATTAAAGAAGAACTGTCAAAATATTTAATTTAAATTACCTCATTAACAATAGCTGGTGCAGGTTTGAACAAATCTTTCATTGCCTCTGCCTTTACTGCAACCATGATCTCTGCAGCAGTGGCTGCCCCGGCAGCTGGCTGGTGGTTGTGACTGGTGCTGTTGGATTGGAAACTACTGTCGCGTTCTATCACCAATGCCTTGCAGGGATTTACTTTGGGCCTCACCGAACACTGCCAGTAAACGACGTTCACCCCTCGGGACTTGATATTGTATGTGTATCCATTGCTGTCTATCAATTTTACTTTGCCCCGCTTTGAGCCCTGTTCCACTATCTTGTAAGTTACTGGGAATTCACCAACTGGACACTCATGGATAGTGGGGTCCTGGATCGAGTCTTCAAAATGGTCTATTGTGCCATCTGAAATTAAAGTAACACAGAGAAGTCAACAACTTTTCATTTTTCTACCATTTTAAATTCCTTTCA